ACTTTGAAATTGCTAGTTAAATAAGTACTATTTGGCGCGAAGTTACGTAAAGTCACCTTACCCGGTTTGCCGTCACCTTACGTAAATAATTAAATTTAATAACGGTCCCCGTCAAATCCTACGAATGAATTCCTCCAAGTTCCATCGCGACAGATGCAGGATGGAAGGCTGGTTCTAGGCTCTCTAGAAAAAAAGAATTGCTTTCTCTTTTGATCGTGTTCGTCGACAAGGAGCGAACGAGGAGGCGATGTCCTCGCTCGTAGTCGAAAAAGCATCCAGTGTGACGGGTTACTGTTACTCGAGGCTGCGTGCCGTTGCCGTTGTTTGTTCTTCCCGTGTCTTACTTGTACCTGGCCACGCGTGTTTCGCGATACACCACGTAGGACACGCGGCTCCTTCTGCCGTGTAACTGTCCCTGTCGACAATGGTCGCGTGCCCCAAACGTATTCCGTCGTTGTCGAAGCTTCTCGTCTCGTGATACGATTATCACCGAATGAGATATTTCAGGACGAGGCTTTCCATGATTCATAAAATAACATACTTCAAAACTGGGGGAATGATATTTAGAGAAACTCCAGAGCAGTGATTCCCAAAGTGGGCGCCACCGCCCCCTGTATGGGTGCCGCAGCGATTCAGGGGTGCGCTGACGGCCAACGTGGGCTGTAATTCAAAAGTTCTTAATTGCATTTCCGTCGTCGTATTTAGCGGAACGTGGATTCGGTGCAGTAACTAATTTATTAACAAAAAATAGAAACCAATTGCAAATAGTATTAGGTTGTCCCAAAAGTTTCTTTCGTGAGTTGCACTCAATTATTTGATGTGGTCGTGTTTATATAAATAGACGATCTAATTTCGTAGGTATTCATGTTGTAACAGCAATGGAGCAAACTGAATCGTGCACAATTCAGTAATGTAACATAAAACATAAACTATCGTGCATGTATTACTTATTAATAAAGCGAAAGAAACTTTTCGGACAACCTAATAAATCGCGGTGATTTAAGATTACTGCTGACGAAAATAGAGGATTACTAAATTGTTAGCAGCACACCACGTTCGTCCTTCTCGTTAAGATGATTTCGAACGTTTTAACTTCTTTCTTTTTTTGTATTACATTCTATTCCGAGTTCAATAAATAGTTCCATAATTTCAAAGTTCAATGTTTCTAATTTACACCTTCCTTTACTATATTTTACGAAAGAGGTAGAAACATTGATACATATATATTTCGTATTAATTGCTATTAAAATTGGAAAAAATTACTTTCCAGGGGGTGCTAAGTAATAGTTTTTATGGAAAGAGAGCGGTAGGACAAAAAAGTTTGGGAACCACTGCTCTAGAGAGTCTATTTATTTATTATGGACAATTGCATACAAGCGTAATGCAACAATAGCGAGACTCAATTCGGTTCATGAATCTAGGTTGGCCAAGGTTAGATCGAGTGATCGTAGAACATGTATGATCTTTTATTTGGTAGACATCACGAGCATTAAAGTACCTAACTTTCTCTTCGTCGTGACAAACGTTTCTATATGTAAAGTGTGCACTTGTTTCAGCATCGAATACAATTTGATGACACGGCAACCCGAACCTTCGAGTATCCCAGCGAGGCATCGATGCTGGAGGACGAGAGCAGCGTGGATGGCGAAACTTCCGGTTCCGTCGAGCAATCAGCTCCGATTAGCAATAAAACGTCCTCGAGCAATTCGCCGACAAGCATGCCGACCCTTCTTGGTAATTTTAATCGTTACTTCTCGCTGCCACGAGCGTATCGTCAAACGCGTATCTCTCCGTTCTATCTCGAATAACGTAGACACGAATCAGTCTTACAGAGTGTTTACTATGATCGATTAAAAATCACTTTCTTCGTCTTGTTTACCGTCTTTTGCAGATGCAACGATCGCGAGCCACATTCTATCGCGCGCAAAAAGCTACGATCAGTTGCAGCTTCTTTTAAACATCGACCCAGTAAAAGAGTCGCTAGTGTAGATCGGCTAGACCATGCATAATCCTTGTCGCATCTTTCGAGTTCCTTATTTTTATCCAGACGTTTCAATTATTGCTCGATGTAGATCAACATTTTTCTCGTTTTTCCATCATCAACAATCCTCTCATAAATTATTCTATCCTTAAATCTTTCAAAGTCTCGTTTATATTGTTTCCATCCTCAGCTTAGAGATCATAGTGTGCTGAACGCTAGTGCTTGTTTCCCGCAGGTGGTGGAGGTCTAGCCAGTTACACCCCGAGCAAGGTGGATCTGACGTCCGAGGGGTTCGAGCTGGGCGTGACGAGAGCCGTGTCTTCGAGTTCGGCACCGTCGACGCCGTCGACGCCAGGCCAATCGGAGAACGAAATCTCCGACGTGGACTACTTGAAACCAGCTCAGGATGCCGGCGCCTGGGGATCCGAAACCACTGGCGACCTTCTCTACTGACCAGGCCAAAGTCCAAATGAAGATGTGTAAAACACGCTAGAAGCTCAAAGCGCGAGACTCTTCGATCGGAGCCGATCCCTAGAGTCGCCAAGTCCTGTGAACTGAAAAGACTAATTTAAAAGTATTCCACACCCCTCCCTTTTGTTTTTTCACGAGCAGGAAAGAAGTAAGATGTCGTCGTGAAAGAAACGTCCAGAAACGAACATTATTGTTGGTCGAGATAACAAATTTTGTTTCTTTTTCTTGAAGAAAGACGAATGCATTTTGAGAGAAGAGCGAAGTGTGTCTTAGGTAAGTAAGCGGAGGAGAAGCAAAGAAACAAGATAAAAACAATATCATTCCAAGTATATGCATTTAATTTGTATTAGTACGATAACGAAACGAACGAGAGTTTCCTAAGTAACGTGTAATTTAGAACTGCCAAGGTATGTCAGTACCTTTTCTTCTATTCCTCTTTCTTCCTTGCACGCGTGTTTCTCGTTTACGTATTCAAACACTAAGAGGAACGGTCGAGCCCGGTGAACGGCGGGAACGCTTATGCAAGGGCGAACAGAAGAAAAAAGAAGACGTGAACCGAAAGCATATCACTTATTTCTTTTGTTATTTTTTTTTTTTTTTTTTTTTTGGCGCATTTTTACAACAACCAAGAGAGTCGACGATGGAACTGAACGTTTTTGTAACCTTTTTGAGATTACTTTAATGCTAAGCCGTAAACGCATGTTCGAGCTGCCAGTCAAAGGCCAGGAGTTTATGCAAGATTTTTTAGAAAAACAAAAATTAAAACGAAAAAAGAACGATCGAGTGCAAGGGAAACATCGATCGAAGCAGAAAAAAAAACGAGGTAGTAAACGATTAACAGTCGAGTTTAGATTTGTAAAAGTTTTTGCCAAAGTAGAACGTAAGTCTACTTAGTATATATTTAATGTATATGTACGGTAAGTCGACGTTTCAGTCCAAGAATAATTGTAACAATTGTAAATTCCAAAAATTCCTTATTTATACTGAGGGTATGTTAAACCATACTAATATTTCTTACGGATGCTCAAGGTTCGTTCATACTTCAGTGTAAATATACATATTAATATTATACATACATATATACATATATATATACATATATACGTTCTTGTTTCGTTGGGTTTGTTGCGCATTTTTGTTTCTTACGTTTGGACGAGGACCAAAAAAAAAAAGAAAAAAAAACCTAATCATTCTCAAATGTTTCTTTGAAAAAACATTGATTTATTGATAATTAATGTTAATTTTAAACGAATCGAATTTTGTACATACTAAATTATTGTCAGTCTCGGAAGTTTTTCATTAAAAAAAAATTCTACGTGTACTTGTGTTTCTTCTTGTTGTCCGCAATTACGTTCGAGGCAGTAACACGCGTCGTAAAATTCAGATTATTACGTTGAATCGCGTTTAAGTGATTAACACGTTAAATGCTGGCCTGGTCTCCACGGACTGTAGTTAAATTTTGTTGATTAGGCTACGCCCGTCATTCCGATCACTGAGTGCCCAAGGCTGAAAAAAAGCTGGGGATAATACATCGTTAGACAATCTACATGTAAACAATAGTAACATAGCTGCTAGGTTACCAAACAAACGTTACATGTAATATCTGCGAAAGAAACTCCCATCTTTGTTTACATTGTCTTGATTCTGTGGGGACCTGCGTGGCGTTTAACGCATTAAAGAGTATGATTGTGGCGGTATGGGTAATTGGATTAGGATTTAATCGCGTGATCGCGGACTGATTCAAGGAAAAAAAAAAAACGTGCGATCTGATAATAATAACGATTAATGCACGAAAAAGTTGCATTTATACGCCGAACCAACTACTGTGTTCTAATTTCCGTCGCTGTATTTAAATGCTATTCCGGCTATAACTACTCGCGTGTCCCGGCGACATAATGTCGCTTTCCATTTAATTCCACGTTATCGTTCAATCGATGCTTGATGGGTCTGTGTCACAGCGTTGCATTTTACACTGTGATATTTTTTAATTATTTCTTTTTTTCCTAGTATCGATATGATTATATGATTGCTTCCCAATTTTTTAAGGAACAATACCGTGTCGACCGGCTCAGTTTGTATTTTCTACAGTATACTGTGTACGGAGCGAACGAGATTACGATCGCAGAACATTCCGAATCGAGACGTTGCACTGTTTAGTTTTTATTCCCATCGGTCGATCGTTCAAATACATCGATACGTAATCTCGGTGCTCCGGTTGAGGGAACTCCGTATTAATTTTGTAAATTATCGTTGTACAGTATGGAAAGGCATCGTCATACGAGTAAAAGGATTAAAGAGAAAATAGTATTATGCTCCAAGATTATTATTGTCACTATTCTCAATATTATTATTATTGTTATTATTATCCAACGCTTGAATCCACATTACCTTATCGAGTATACTTACCAGTTAAGAAGTATCGTGTGATGTATCGTCTGTGTGTTATAAAGTATTCAAGTAATAAAATGAAATAATTACCCCCCGTATTATCGTCGAGCCTATCTTCCCATGTGTCTTGACGCGAGTGCTCGATTCAGTAGTAAGGATGTACTATCAAAATTATTCTTATTTATTTAAATAAATATATACAGTATTACCAAACAAATAAATCACATTTCAGTTCAAGGTATGGTCCATAGGACAAGTACACAATTATATATCCCCCGAGAAGATAAAGTTTACATTATTTGTATATAGACGTATAATATTCCTCTTCCAAATCGTACAGATCGGCAGCCATGTCGTCCCTCAAGGATGCCAGTTTCTGATCGCATTCCGCTTGCTTTGTCCTGAACAATTTACTGTTTTGTGCTATGGCTTCATTTACAGAGGGAAAATCGTTCAGTATGAGGTATTGCTTTATATCGGAGACAAGTTTCATTAGGGATTCTCCAGCGCGCACAATATTGGCTGCTCTGACGTGCATTTCATACGTGTCTTGTTCGCATTGTGTCATCCGAGATAATTGGGAATCGTTTTCTCCTTTGGCAAGCTTGATGATTTCTGCGAAACAAATAAGCAATAATAAAATTATAATCTAATTTTACACTTGTTTTAAAAATCCAAGGAATATTATTGCCTTACGGTGAAAGTGAGGTTAGGGAGACCTACCTTCGAAATTTTCCAGCATCGACTTCACGTCGTCTTTTAATCTCGTCGTGTAAGACTTTAATAAAGCTTCTTTGCTTTGAGGCAATGCTCGTTGTGCTGCCATTATCTCGTATAATTAAGCACAGTTCCTTCATAAAAATGTACCGGTAGCTACGAAAACTTGGACACTATCGAGACACAGAGTAATCTAAACATTCGAAGCACCTTTTTGTCTGACGAATCTATGTACTATATAGAGAATGAAATACAAGTCCTGGCAGGTCTTGCGTCCTTTATTAGACAAAAGCTTTTAGAAAAGCTTCCTAAAACAGCGACGAAGCAAAAATTATTCAACAGTGGCCACATTCTACTTACTCATATAGAATACATTCCTCAATGTTTTAGACTAGTTTTCTTTTCTATCTCTAATACATATGAAGACAGAGATTTATGCCGTGTATTATTTAAACTTTATAAACGATTATTAATCCAATAAACAAAGTATTATTTATTAAACCCTATAAGCCTGGAAAAAAAAACTATCGCCATCTATTAGGAAAACGCCCAAATTTGCAAAGGAATAGTTCAAGTGTTTTTACAGCTAGATGACGCCACTATTTAAATGTTATTGTAATATAAAAAAAATGAAGCTTTGTAACAGTGGCTATTGATTTAATTAGTTAGTAAGCTTGTTTTGGAGCACGAGAAATTAAAATGTAACAATAAAATAATGTCTTAGAATATCTGTTTGTTATTCCAGGGAAAATTAATGGTGTCGCCATCTATCAGTAAAATGCCCAAGTTTTTTGCGGAATAGTTTCACACTTTTACTGCTAGATGGCGGCACTTAATTCTAAATAAATAAATTATTTATTCAACGACTAAACAATTATTATTTAATACAAATTACAAAGTACCAATTGAATCTGTATCGCTGAGTGTTTATATTGTTTTTCAACAATTTTCCATGCAAACAAGTGGGACACTTTGAATAGTTACCTGTATAGTTCTAAACGTTAGTATGGCAAGCTGGTAATTTTATCTTTCTTGGTATGGTCACGTTGACGGTGATATGTAATCTAACCTTTGATATTCTGACGTTTGGAAATTTGACGGCGGTGTTATTGCAAAAATGTAATGCACAGTGAATAATTGATTCTCCTTGTTTGTTCTGCATAAAAGACTATCAGGCTCGGGCGTAATGTGCGATGCGACATTTGGTCTAGGTTTCTTTTGCAATCATTTATTTTTAGCACAACAAGAATTTCTTAAGACGCGAAGCTCTCCTCTGCTCGTCAGTTATACTATTTTTCAAGCATATAAACACAGGTGCAGTGGCACGCAATATCCTGCTAAATATTTTAATCGCTCTGTTACGCGACCATAAGACCAGGTAACGTATAACGTGACTTACACGTAAATTTTTCACGTTTTCTTTTACGTACGCGTTTCAAATTATTCGCAAAGCGTATTTAAAGCTTCGACAATTTCAATCGATCCAAATATTTATATTTCGTGGAAATCCGTAATGTACGAAAGCACAACGTTCGGATCGTGTTGTTAATAATTATCAATCGATGTACCCGAAGTTCTGTAGAAATTTTTATTCATTTTGAAATTTAATGTTATAACTGTTTGTCATAATATTACTTAACGAACATTTCAGGTAGTATTAGGATCAATTGGTCGCATTAAATATAATGTTCGCAGAAATAGGAGCAGAAGGCTATCAGCCAATGACAAGTTTCGTAGAAGAAAACCTGTTCAAGCTGCAATGTTTGATTAAGGCAACAGAAATACAACACAGTGCTCAATGCGAATATGGAAAGAAATTATTTTTAGCCCTCACAACTGGGAATGCAGAAATTTTTTTGTATTACAAAAAGGACTCTACATGTGCTCCAATTATTAAAAGAATTCCTTGGTTTCAAGGGTCTCACAAGGAAATTTCAACATTATGTTTTCATTCTACGGGATCATGGTTGCTTGCAGCAAGTGTAGATGGATCCGTGTATATAATTCCTGCTCTGTGCTTGGTCGATAATAATTGTGACATAGACCAAAGATGGACCAGCGATGATATAACATCTTTTCCTTCTATTAGTTTGCAATCCTCTCATTCAAAGTATGTATTTTAATTGAATATTTAGTGCAATATAATAACAATTTTCATTCAGAGTTTATTAACTCTATATCTTTGGTTATTAAAATTTTTTAGACCCACCGCAATAGTATGGTGGCAAGATACAGTAACGTCAGCTGAAATTGGTATTATTGGAACCGAATATGGAGAGATTATATTTATAAATCTTGAAAGTGGTCATCAAACAATTGTTGCGCGTATCAATGGGAATATCGCCAGTCTGCATATTTGTTGCAATGAAATTACCAATAGGGTGTCTCTCTTGATAACAAGTCAATCCAAACAGCAGTGGAGATTACTTTTAAAGCAGCATGCCTACAGTTGTTTGCAACATTTAGAAAATGGAGAAACTTACAATTCGTTACACGGGAGCGATAATACCTATGATCCCACAAAAACGTTTGCTGCTACTAGATCCAGATTGCAAGGTCTCACCCAACTGTCCGCCAAGAATATTGGACGACTTAGACGAAAATTTATAGAAAAAAAATATCAGAGTTTAGGTAAATATTTCTTTTATTTTGAAATGCTATCGCTAGTAACTTTTTTTATCGGAAAATAGCAAGTGTCTTTTACCGATTTTTCAGATATGGCAAATAATCGTAATACTCATAATACAACAATTAATTTTGATTCGTCCGTGGAAGTGAATCAGAATCAAATAACACCTGAACCAATATCAAATAACACTTTCCTCTTATCACAGTCAGATAGAGATGGTCAACAGTTGTATACATGTTACCATGCTATTACAAATCATATAACAGTAAGATAATATATATTTATTCTTTTGTATATAGGAATGAGTATTATATTTATGAAGCTGTATGATTGCAGGTACATGGACCTGATTTTTCTACCGTACCTTTATCAGTGCATAAACTGTTTGAATCATGTAGAAATGTTTTACTAACTCAACGTTTTTTTTTTATTACTGACTCCAGTCAACGTTTAATATATATAATATCGGACAGATTATCCGAAACACGTGCAAATGATAACTGTAAATTTAATCCAGAGTCCATCATCGGTCACTTTTCTTTAGCGAGTAGTAAAGAAGTGATACGCGCTGTATACAGAGCTATCGATTTCACGCATAATTCATCGACACCAGTTTCTCAAGATACTAAAAGCAAATACACATTACCAAAGGGAATAAAAGATATCGAAGTTGAGTTGCTTCAGGTGGATACTTGTATAATTGTAACAAATCATTCTGTGTATAAAGTTGTTCTGAGGTCGGTGTCCCCCTCTTACCTTATTCCGTTGTTTCGATTAAAAATTATAATTTATTTTATGTTTACAGAAAGTCGGTGGTATCAATTTTTATGGAACTAGTATTGAAAGATAATGAACCCGAGAAAGCGATAAAATTGGCTCTGGTATTTGGCATTAATGCGCAACAGTTACTAGAACAAGCCAGCGACATACTTTTGTCAAATAAACAATTTTCGCGCGCTGTGGCTTGCTATAAATTATCGAAAGTAAGCAAATATAAAAGGAACGAGAAGTAATTATTCTTATTTAGACTTTTACATAATTGTGTATTTACTTTCTTTTAGTGTAAAGTATTGAAGAGTGTATTAAAGTATGCATCCGTTGGATATACGGCGAACGTGTTGAGGTGTCTCACACAGTTTTTAGCCTCTCCAGCAATTAGTAAGCTGCCTGTCACAACAAGAATTCATCTTTCTAACTTATGTGTACTTGCGTTTATTGAAATGACGCTTAGAGTACCACCTCAAAAATCTAGAATTACTTACAAAGAGTTTTTGTAAGCATTTAAATATTTTGTAATTTTGCTAACATGTAAATTTTGTCTAACGGAATTTAACGGAAGTGATTCGAATTACAGACATTTCCTATCTACAAATCCTTTTTATGATGAACTGTTAGCGGTTAATATTTCTGGTCAAACGTGTCTATGGGAAGTCTTGCATCACTTAGCTACACAGAAATGTCTTTATGGACAAATGTTGGAAGTACTCATGAAGACAATACATTCTTTCAGCACAAACAATTTTCATCCGACATCGTGTAACGTATAATACTTACCGTAATTAAATTCTGAAATGATTCAAGTAATAACACTCATCTACGTAATGTAAAATAAATACAATTTATATATTAAACAATTATTTCGTTTTAGATGGTATGTTAATATGCATAAGCGAACCAAGTTTGATACAAGCGATGTTAGTGAATCCTGAGTTAGCTAGAAGTCATATGTCGTTTATTCTTGACGGTCTTCAAGATTCTCAAATTTTTGTACTTCAGGTATGCATAACCAGATGTTTTGTACAAAAAAAAAAGGAACTTCTTACAGCATATTATAAATAATTAAATTTTCGTTTGTTGATCGTTGTTTAGAGGTTATTAACATTGTATGATCCAACGAATCCAGTAATAAGACCTAGGATAATACAATGTAGACTGCGCCATAGAACCACTTCTCAAAGTTCTCAATCTAGTCAATGTGATTCTATAGATCTCCTTGTAAATGTAAGTATAATTCGCTCTGTAATATATAAAGATATACATTAATAACGCATTGTTATTCTTTACTCAGGAGGATGGCGACGCATTGGTAGAAGAAATTATAGAAACTTTTTTACTAATTTTATTGACTTTGATTTATAAGAAGTCTACCTTAGATCAAGAACCTACTATTGCATGCAACATTGAATTATTAGGATTTAAGAAGGTAATTACTACGATATACACTTCGCATTTTGTATCAATAGATAATTATATAATTATGTATTTATCGATTCAGAGTCAAAATAATTCCAATTCAGTTGCCGATTTCAAAAGAAGGGCATTATGTGCCGGATACTATCATGTTATTCTTATCAGAAACGGAAATGTTTATACTTGGGGAAGTTCTGTACAGGGATGTTTAGGTAAATAATTTATATGCGGTTTAACGTATTTATTTTTGTATTTTTATGCTTCATATTTTTGTTTTTAAATCGTCATTAGGAACTGGTCCGTCCCTGTTGTGGTATGGCACGGCTCAGGATATACCTTTCTTTTGGCTGATGGAGCTCGAAGTTTTCAGCGTATCGTGTGGCCATTGTCATACTTTAGCGGTGACCAATAACGGTGTTTACGCCTGGGGCTCGAGTCAGTTTGGCCAGTTGGGTTTGGGCAAAATTGTACAATGTTCTAGCCCGGAATTAGTCACATCTTTGGCTCAAGAAATAATCGTCGACGCAGTGGCTGGACAATATCATTCCGTTGCGTTGACCGCTGATGGGAGAGTCTTTACATGGGGTTGGGGCGTTCATGGTCAATTGGGTCATGGCAATACCGATGAAAAAAATACTCCTACGTTAGTGGCCTCGTTACTTGGTGTATTCATACGTTCTATTAGCGCTGGGCATGCGCATACACTAGCTCTCTCAGCGGAGGGTATCGTGTATGCGTTTGGATGTAATGTTTTCGGACAATTAGGTATAGGTAGTAACGTTAAAAGTTCTGTGCCAATGAAAGTATCGTTACCAGAAAACATATATCTCGTCACAACTAGATACTTCCACAATGTAAGCGAGACCTACCTTCTTATATACATGTATAACGTATAAACGTGCCTGTTAATACCTTGCATTTACTTTAGCTTGCCGTCAGTCACACAAACAAATTGTACGTATGGGGAGCTAGCCCGCAAGTTCTACGGTGGCAAGCACAAACTCAAAAGAGGAATCGAATATTGGAGCAGCGAGACGCTATCGTCAAGCAGTTTGAAAATATCGAGGAGTTTGAAAACGTCACAGACCACTCGAGCACAAATGACACGGGCGAAGAGGCACTGGAAAGTAATGCACAACCAAAGACGGTAACCAGTACGGAGACGAGAAGAAAACAGTTAGACATGTGTTTAAAGAACGTCGAAATCGGGTCACTCGAAGAGAATCAAGCACATTTAAAGCCATCCCTTGTAGATACGAGTTTAGTGGTAGGAAATATTGTACAGGTTAGTGAAGAAATTTGTGACTAGGTAGGTTTACTTGAAAAATAAAAACTACGAATTTCTTGTTTTCTGTGACAGATATCGACTGGCTGTCACCACAACGCTCTTGTAACGAAGAACGGATCGCTTTACACTTGGGGACGAAATTTGGATGGTCAGATCGGCAATGGTACCAAACGGGAGGTATTAATTCCCACGCCATTGTGTTACAATCCTGCTTCTATCTTCGCACAAGTACCTCCAAGGCATAATGCTCACGATCGAGGGGAAGAAGAACATGAATTAGACGGCGGAGCAAAGAATTCCACCGCGAATGATACAAATGGAAATTTAAACGCCGAATCTAGATCATTCCAGACGGAGGGTAACGAATTTAAGGAAAAAGTAAATTCTGTAATTAAAACAGTTGGTGTCTGCTGTGGATATGATTACACAGTGGCTATACAATCAGGTATAGAAATCACGCGATTTAAAAAAAAAATAAAAACTTTATTATTAGGTCTGGGTTATTTTCACTATATGCTCTTTCAGGGGGTACAGTTTTGGCTTGGGGTAACAATAGAAGAGCTCAGTTAGGTCGTCTTCCTCCCGAGGCACGCTTGGACACCGAGGACAAGCTTGTGTTGATTAAAAAGAGAGTTGCGCGAATTCCAAATCTTATACACATAGCTCTGGATGTGCCTACTCAAGTTCCTAACCTTCCAGCTCCTGTAATTTCTTATCTGAGTTATGACATGCCTCCTCTGGCGGGTACTGTTCGTCCTTTAAGCGTTATCGAGAAAACACCAGGTGAATTAACGTTGCATTATGCGCTCGAATACTTCTACGGCATGTACGATTCTTCAAGAGTCATGGATAAGGTTGGTGTACTGTTTCACATAACTGATAAACGGCGTTGAACTGAAATTATAAAGTGCGTATATTTTCAGTGCATCGAGTTGGAAAATTTTCAAGCTTGCTCAAAAATAGCTATGCTACAGCATAATATTTCTGATGCATTCGTCTACCAACTAAAGATATTGCGCGCGCTGAGCCTTCGATCTAACTCGAAAGTATCATCGGAAAGTGTATGCCACGAGACAGACCAAAAGACTGCGGACGCATCTAATTCGAAAAGAAAGTCTTCGTCGACTCGTCACGTCAAGAAAAATACCGAACTGTTCAACAAACAAGTAGAAAAGAATTTGATCGATTCCGTTGAAGATTGCGCTGCTAAGAATAAGATGAAAATTCCTGCGAGCAGATCGTTGAACAGTTTGCAACTACTACAAGAAGAGCTGTACACGTTCGACTGCCAAGGTGGTTCCGAGGAATTATGCAAGGACATGAAATGCGAGAATACACCTTTGGACATTTTTGAAGACACTTTCGATTCTGATATTAGTTCCGATTCGGAAGAATGGATGGAAAACATTATCTTCAAAGACGATCGGTTACGAAAGCAGGAGAAACCAGTTGAATCCAATGTTGATAATTCGTTAACTTCCACCGTGAAAAACGAAGGAACAGATAAAGAGTATAACGAAGCATTTTATGAAAATAAAGTTTCACATTCTCGAGAAGATATTGTAATCAACGAAGCTATAAAAGTGATTAAGTTCTTCTTAAGGGAGATGGAAACGGAAACGGATACGGTGAAGTGTAAAATATTACAGGATGCTCTGGACTTCTGGATTGAACACAATTTACCAATGCAGAGTATAGAGAATGTGTTTTTGGAACATATCCAGTCGATTTTTTATCCTCTCGGATTATTATTATTCTGGTAAGTGTGTAATAAAATATTTCATGATGTTGTACTAGTTAGTATGCAATTATCGTGGTTACAAGTTTTATATATTTTTACAGTCAAGAAATAATGGAGAAATACTTGGATATGAACAAGAATGATACGGAAGTTAAAAGTTTGATCGTAATTAACTTCTTCTCTACCAAATTCTGTCTTGAAGTCTGTTCCATGTTGTTGCATCATATCGGTCAAGGTAAACGGTCTTAATTTTCACATGCATTATTTAAAATATGTTTCATGCTATGTTCTTTATCATATGTTCATGGATTACAGGTCAACATACACCTGAATTTATTAAACTACTGTCTTCTTTAACGGCTGACCATTATGGGCCACCGCTCACTGGATATCCAGGTTCGAGTGGAAATAGTACTTCGAAACAAATGATAGAAGGAGTTATGAGCACCGTGTCGTTTGACGCTCCCGATTCTAGGTCGTTTGTACATATTAAGGTAAATCTAATCTATACAAGTTCTATAATTTTCGTTTCCAATTAGTATTAGTTTCTTTGTTTATTGCTATTTTAATACGATCCCGAAATTAGGATCCAGATTCGGTCTACCGATTCCTCGCGGCTGAAGAAGATACGATGGTATTCACATGTGGACATCATTTCCCACTGTCCATGTATGAAACAGAAGTGATTCCGACAATGCAAACCGAGTTGTTAACATCCGATTCGCTGGTTCTTCCGTGTACAGCTCAGTACTTAGAGAAAATGTTATCTGAGACGTCTAAGCCAGAAATACTGTGTCCTTCGTGCATACCGCGAGCACTGGGATCGCTGGTGAAGAAGAATAATGGATGAGAAGTATGTACCTGAGATTTTATTTAAAAAATATAATTGTTATACAGTTTTTTCTTAGATACTTAAAGGGCTCAAGTTATACACGCGAAATGAACGTTTAAATTGATTGTAAGGAACTAAAACACTAAAGACACAAATTCAGCATTCATTTTAGTATTTATTAATGTAACAAAGCATTTCAATTGACAAAATACTTTTCCTTGTAATTGAAACGTTGTTCTCGAAAAGCATTACAAAGTACCAACAAGATTAAAGCTCTCTATATCATTTACATAATATTTTTTACATTATCTATATCCAAAGGGAATTTTTCATAGGCGAAACAAATTTATTGACTGCATTACTAAATGCGAATAATTATAGTGTATTAATTTTGTTATTATTCAAGACTCGCGCGGTCTTATTAAATATCAGGATTACTTCGTTACGCACACTGAAATTTAACATATTCACTGTGAAAGCAGACTCCATGTGTTCGCCAATCAAATGGTGTTGTTTCGAATATCTTTTGCTATAAAATCTTTTAAATTACAAATTGAAACAACGTTGAACTTTAACATTTCTGGTCTAAATTGATAAACATTACAAAAGTAGGGAAGTCGTAATAGAATATGTCTTTTTTAACCACTTTCCTTCTCTTCTCTTTATATGTACAAGTAGTATGACTGTCGGTCCGAACGCTAAAAACTAAAATTATACCGAATCAATATTGATGAGATTTTCATTTTTACTTTGCTGCACGTTGCAGCTGAAAATTATTTTGGCTCGTCGCAAACTGCATTTTGAAAGTTACATTGTTGTTGTTTGACGATGCAGTGTGTGTATGCACCATCGAAGGGTATATGTACATTTTTTATTATAACAATTTATTTACACTTAGCCTCGTCTGGGGCAATCAGTAAATGTGATGAATGTTAGTTGAGTTGCGGAAAGGTGATACACGCTGGTGTCCCTTTTTAAGATGAATATATGTAAGAAAGTTTCACGTAAACAAATTTTCGAAATAATTTGGATGGTAGAGATAGGTAAGTCTCAGGAAAAATACCAAGGCTGTTTGATATCCTGACGTTTTGATAATTCACTCGGGCGAAACCGGGTAACAGTGCTAGTTAGTATGTAAAATGTAGAAACGTTAGAGGCCGGGAGTATTATATTTTAAAAGTAATAAACGTTCATCATTCAGATACAACGATTTAAAATTGAAAAATACAAAATAAAGATTATTGCTTTTTATACCTTTTTTCCGAGGGATTCTTATTCACTCATTGACGTGATACTATACAAATCTTATTTTAATTAGCGAACGTCGTAAGACCAATTATTTTTAACAGTATAGTGACGTACTGTATAAATTTTGAGCTGACTTTTGCAATGTTAATTGAAAAAAATTTGTTATTAGAAATTGTTTTACATTTGACTTGTACTCTGTAATAGTTTTACCAATTTAACTATTTCGTAAAAATTGACTACTACTTACGAAGTCATTTAGTGTTTTATGATAATTACGACGTATGAACAATTTTAAATGAAAGATCAAGATGTCGAATAATATGAAAACGGCTATAAAATTAATATGTTATCCATGTATGGAATTTGTGAATGTACTTGTTAATCAAACATATTAATCATTCTAAAGATACGATATACAATTGTACAGTAGTTGTTATATCAATGTTGTAAAATAGAAAAAAAGTGGAAGTAGGGAATACATGTAGTTATTGTCTATAATTTGCAATTATAAAAAAATTGGTGCGAAATACTAACGACTGATGACAAATATATTGATCTAGTCTTCAAAGTATATGCCAGAATTGTATATTAGTAGGCGATCTTATCAGAGGTCGGGACAAATGTCTCGGTTATATATTATAAATAATGTATTATTGTTATTCTTCGTCGACGTGCGTCTAATTTTAATTAGAATATCGATGTATCGATATAGTAGAAAAAGAAAGAATCGTATTTGCATGTAGACACATTCTGTTGCATTTTAATTGTAAAAGTACACAAAGTGAAAACCCACAAATAAAAGTAGAAGTATGTTTGCATCACAGAACTTCTTTATTCCGATTAAAGAACACTAATACAATTTCAAAATAGATCGACGCAAGTAGTGGAATTAAATTGTAAGGTCAGAAACAAAATAGAGATACGAATTTTTAATAAACAATCTCGACACTTTTGTTGTATCTTGGAGCGTTTTAGTGAATCAAATTGCTTTTAAACTCAGCGTAAAACTGATATTTGCGTTTCACTGTATATGTATACGGATCGCAATAATCTTGTACAAACAGTTGTACAGTTTTGAATGTGATCGTATATGAAGTCTTTCACCGGTAGTACTTAACAAGTGAAGTATTGGCCAATAAACATGATTAGAAGAATGATTTATCAGTGTTTTATTGCTACCTTCTTTTTTAAACATTTAAACTATCACTGTGTCTCTTGTGAGTTTCCGCCATTTTCGCTCAAGTGAATAGCCATCTAGCGGTGAATAGACCGAACTAATTTTCGGAGTATGGTCAGCGCCTCTATCGGGAAAACGCTCAAGTTTATCCTCGATAGTTCCTTTTTTCACTGCTAGATAGCGCCATTGTCAGTGTTTTCTTTTTTACCGACCTATCGGTGCATTACCATGCTGTCGGTAAAAAAATTGCGTGAAAATGACGGAAACTCACAAGAGACACTGTGATAGTTTAAAAGTTTAAAAAAGAAGGCAACAATAAAACACCGATACATCGTTCTTCTAATCCTGTTTAGTGGTCAATACTTCACTTGTCAATTACACCATTTAATTGAACTAAAGTTCATTAGAAGCATTTGTAGTCTTTTTCGTATAAATTAATACACTAATCTATTCATTTTTTACTGTAAAGGACGTGTTTTATGCGTATTAGATACTTCAACCGAATAAACAATTTATTTGGATACGGATTAAATGCCTACTTTAAAAAATGGTTCGTAAGTTGTACATTGTTTTGGTACTACTAGAAGGAGTGTAAAATTCTTTGAGTTTCTTTAATATTTTATTCAGAAAAATATTATCCAAAATACATGTTTCTCTGTCACAATCAATGAATCGGTTAATTGAACATTCATTTACTCATTGTCCGCTTACACACTGTTTCTCGTAAAAGAAGTCTCCCATACATCCATGAATTCTCGTCCAGACGATAAAAACATTCAACAAATAATTTCAGTGATGAAGTTCACGCATTGTATGCTCTGGTGGGAATAAAATTCAATAAAAATTGTAAGAAATGAAAATAAAAGTTCTTGTATAACAGGAACAGATATCTTCTTCATCGATGGCGTGAAGCTCTCGATCACCTTTACATCCGTACACTTTGATAGTATTACACGTTATTTTTACAACAATAATTTTAAAATCATTTTTGTCATAGATCGTTAACGTTTGGCTCGCGTTTAAAAGACTGATCTGTTTTTTGTAATGATAAAATAGATTCGTTTAAAGCATTTCGATCTTAGTAGCGAGAAGATCGAGCTCGGATCGTATAGCTTGCGGCAAATCGGCACCGACTTGCGCGTCGAAGTATTCCCTGAGGTCCTTCACTTCTTTACGCCAGAAGCTTCTCGGTAATCTGAACAATTCCTCCATGTTCACGTTGTTCTGCATGCCTTCCAAGTTAAACGAATCTAATTTCGGCAAAAGACCGATGGGGGAGTCTACGGCGACGTCCTCGCCATCGATCCTGCGGAGGATCCAGTCCAGGACGCGAGAGTTCTCGCCGTATCCTGGCCAGAGGAACTTCCCGTCTGCGGTTTTTCTGAACCAATTCACGTGGAATATCATTGGTAGTTTGGCGTTCTCCACTTTGGCCATGCTCAGCCAATGGTCGAGGTAGTGGCCGAAGTTGTAGCCGAAGAAGGGTCTCATCGCGAACGGGTCGTGCATGATCACCTTGCCCTGATAGTTACAGACATTTGCTTTATTTAGAACAGTAACTAATTTGCTTTGCTTCTTCTAGATATACAGATGATCTATAATTTCTTTGTTTGTTACCAATAAACATTTCTTTAGGAGAATATATATACCTGATGCTCGGCAGCAGCAGTTGCCTCGGACCTCATCGAAGCCCCAATGAAGACACCGTGCTGCCAGTTTCGCGCTTCGTAAATTAGAGGAACACCCTCAGGCCTTCGTCCTCCGAAAAGAATAGCGTCTATGGGAACACCGACTGGATCCTCCCAAGCAGGATCGATGATGGGGCACTGCTTGGCAGGGGTGCAGAATCTTGAATTCGGATGCGCTGCAGGCATCTTGGATCCCTCGGTCCATTGGTTGCCTCTCCAGTCGGTGATCTACAAGTAGATCAAGGTCGCTTTTTATACCATGTATCGCAGTAGGTCACGGTAAACACAACGTCACGACTATCTAAACTAAAAACAACGTAGAACGAATTCTAACCGCGACGTTCCCGGCGATCTCCTTCTCCATACCCTCCCAGAAGACTCCACCGTCGCTGACGGCTGCCACGTTCGTGAAGATCGTGTTCTTGAAGATGGTCTTCATGGCGTTCGGGTTCGTGGCCCAGCTGGTACCTGGCGCGACCCCGAAGAATCCGTTCTCAGGGTTGATGGCGCGCAGCTTGCCCTCCTGGTCGAACTTCATCCAGGCGATGTCGTCGCCAACGCACTCGATCTTGTAACCAGGCAACGACGGCTGCATCATGGCTAGATTCGTCTTACCGCAGGCGCTGGGGAACGCGGCGGCGATGTAACGCTTTTTACCTTTTGGATTCGTGATACCCAGTATCTAGAAAAGGCAACTGATACAGAATCTTTTAGACGGATGACACGTGAACGCATGGAGAAACGATTGAAAAGATGCGAGGGGAAGAAAAGGTGAAGCTAAACGTGTAGCTAAAGATGTAGTTACTATTAGAATAATTTCCATCCAAATCTCGATTGATTCAGAGTAATAATAATAAGAATAGCGTGTTAGAATTGAAGGATTAAATAGAACGTGAAGAGCAGAAATGGAGATAAATATACATTTACGGTGAAAAGGCGAGGCGCAGCAAACAAGTTGTTATTGATCTAACCTAGTCCCTCTCTGTATTCGGTATCAAGTCCCGCAGAAAGTGTTGTTTTTTTTTTTCGAACCGTACATTTCAAAGTTCAATGTTCATTTCTCGTTACCCTAGGTTATCAAACGTCGCACATCAACATTTTTGTCTTTTGTGTAGCTGTAAAACGATGCCTATTATTAAACCTCATCGAGTCTTGTTCATCGCGTTATCGCCCCCTCTTAAAAAACGCAACCACTTTTTGCAGGACCCGACGCATCTTCTTTGAACAGGTATCTGGCCAAGATTCATATCTGTTACACGGTGTTACGTACGAGCATGTGTTCAGCGAGCCAGCCCTCCTTCCTAGCGATGGTCGAGCCAATTCTCAAGGCGAAGCACTTTTTGCCCAACAAGGAGTTCCCGCCATAACCGCTTCCATAAGAAACGATCTCGTTTTCCGCTGGTTTGTGAAGGATGATCGTCCTCTCCGGATCGCAGGGCCACGAAGAGTTCACTTGAACGCTCGAGCCCGATTTTGGGGAGCCTACAGAGTGCAAGCATTTGACAAAGTCGTCGTTTCCGAGGGTCTCGAGGATCTTCTTTCCCATCCTGGTCATTATTCTCATGGAGCAGACTACGTATGGGGAGTCCGTGATCTCTATGCCGATTTTCGAGAGCGGAGAGCCTACTGGACCCATGCTGAACGGTATGACGTACATCGTGCGATCTGTAATATGACGTTGCCATGAATTCAACACACTTCTGGATATTCTTTACGAATAAATGAGATTTACAGCAGGTACATACTTTTCATGCATCCCGGGAAACGTTCTAGGATGGCTTTGTTCATGTCCGGCGGGGAGATCCAGTTACCCAGTTCTCCAGTGACGCCTTCGCGAGGCGTGGCGACTGTGTCGTGCTTGTTGTCTGTGCTGATGAACGTGCGCTTCTCCACGCGGGCCACATCAGCTGGATTCGTTCTGGCCAGCCAACTGGAATTCGTATCGATTCGTTAGAACTAGACGAGCTCACGTTTAGATAGAATTAGCGATGTCTGATATTCATATTTGAGATTACGCTCACCAATTCTCGAATTTTGGTAAGGGCGAGATGGTGCCTTCCTTCTCGAGTAGATTCAACAGATGGATGTTCTCCGCTTCGCTTCCGTCGCAGATGTAGATGTCTTTAGGGCAGCATAGCGACGCGCACTCCTCGATGTAAGCACGAAGTTTGGGAGCCAGGGGTTCCGTAGGTGTCTTCCCTATGTAGTCGTATTTATTATCGATGGATGGGTTCTTCGCTGCGTGAGTCGCCAGCAACCTGGACACTCTGGAAGGTAACGTAATCGTTTGTTAAAAAATGACGCGCAGAGGAATTTACCTAATGAGACACAGTAGGGTATATTAGTGTCTATTCATCATGGTTTGCGTGATACCTAACATAATTGCAAAAGTGAAAGATGGAATGTAACGCGATAAGTTAATTAATCATAATAGTGAAGCTGTGTACTCATCAGAAATTGCTGAACATCGTGCAAGAAATTGCGCAAAGGATATTAAGAATAACAAATGAAATTCTCAAGTTCCACTCTATTTTTATACATTTCATTTTCATTCTTTTATAAACCAGCTTATCCTGTTAAGCCATTACTAAGAATATTTCAAATTTCTTTCCTGTTATTATACTCTCTCCAATTTATTTTTTGCGTCAAGGTTGTTCCACGCGTGGTTAAATGGATTTTCCTATAATTTGTGCTTAGGATCTATCATATGGAATTATTTACATGACTTTATATTGCCGTGCACGCGATTCTGTTCGGCAATTTCCTGCGATAATGCGCTCTAGATCGAACGGCGAATTTACAGCTGGGTAATAGTGACAGGTGGTTCCACTTATTCAACAGGACTCGATCAATCCACTCTCACTTCACTATAGCGAGACCTTGTCGAAGATAAAAATGAAATTTCATGCTACTTGCACGCGAGCAACTTTTACGCGTTCACTGTTCATTCTTT